TCCAAAAGTTCCGGTCGATCATTCATTACATTATCTTTGGCTAAATTCACGAGTTGAGGAATATGGTCTATACCGATAACTTTGCCCTCTGGTCCAACCTAAAGCGTATTTCAACTGATATTAAGTAAATATACCAAACAATAACTGATAATTTATGATGATGAGTTACCATCTCCGCTAGACAAGCAGTTAGATATCCAGAACCGCATCCAACGTCTAACACTACATAAAAATTCAAACATAAATGAATTTTGTCGATGCAATGTTTAGGGGAGTGCCGTTTATTAAGTAATTTTAGAGGGGGGTTAGCAGTCGTCGTCTATATTATATATAAAAATTATGCCAATTCGATCACCTAGGGGGGGAAGGTCTGACCTTCTAATAAAAAGAAATTACGTAATAAACGACACTCCCATTAGATACATATTCACTTACCTTTCATGCCAGGTCGCAAAAAAGGAGACAAATTTTCCAAAGCGTGGGCGTGCATATGACTTGAATAAAACATTAAAGTTGTTGATCTATCAATCCAAAAAAAATGCGATAACAACTTTAAACCTTTTCAATCTACTCTTACGGTGCAGAAATAGTAGCTCCATAACCTATTTGCTGAGGTGAATCGCGGTACGGATCGTATTTCACATATTTTCCTCTATCAACCGATTTCATAGCTTGCTCAACCCGGTCAGACTGAAATATTCCAGCTTTTTTCAAATTATTTACCAAGCCGCTATTACTATTTGCTATAATAACGAATAATGTCTTTTAATTATGTGTACATAAAAAAATAAAGGCAGAAAATTTTCTGCTTAATTACCAGAACAGAACCACGCCATGCTTGAAGAATAATTTCGAACGTTTTTTTCAAAACTATCGAAGATAGAAAATTTATGAGAAATGTTCGAGTGAGACGTTCGATTTTTTGATAAGGCGCATGTAAGAATCGTAAGAGATAATCGAATAAAAGTTGGTGTTACGCAAGACATGAATCGACGAACAATTTTACGAAGATTATACATGTGATAAAAAAAAATCTTATGTTCAACGTTGATTAGCACGTGAGGTTCAAATTATATCATTTTTTCTTAACGATCACGGGGTCCTGTGATCAATTTTAGTTCGTTGGAATCTTATCAAGATGTCATTTTTGGACTAGTGCTTACCGCAATAGTTAGGTTTGTATTAAAATCCAAAAATCAGCTGATAAGAATTAATGTTGTCAGAATCCCACGAGATCCCAATCTTTCGATATTTTAAATATTGCTACTTTTGTAGATAATAAAAAGGTGTGTAACAATGATGCTTATTATTATCGGCAACTACATAAAAATCAATCAGATATAATCAAATCAGTCATAAATACGTTTTATGATTAAATTAATTATTTTTCTCTTATTTGAACTTTACGTAAAGTACGAAAATGTGGAAGATTTTTGCTAAAAAGCGCGTAGCTTACACAAGTATAGCAGTTGTTGTTGGCAGTGCATCCGCCTACTATTTCTATCCAGGCGCCCCAAGGAGAATTCGACAGCAACGAGCACATAGTTTATCTATTATCAAGCCACAGTTTTTAATGTCAGAGACATATGCAGACGCGTATAATCAAGCTCAATCAGACACTCCATCAGATAATGAACTGCATACTTTATGGGTCCCGCCTTCAAGAAAGGAAATGTTGAACATTCTCAAAAGTTCAAGCATGGGAGGTCCACTAGAAAAAGATAAGGATGTGAAAGAACCACCATTTGATCTATTAATTATAGGCGGTGGTGCTACTGGTACGGGCACGGCTCTCGATGCTGCAACAAGAGGATTAAAAGTTGCATTGGTAGAAAGGGATGACTTCTCTGCTGGGACTTCTTCGCGGTCGACAAAACTTGTTCATGGAGGTGTTCGATACCTTGAGAAAGCATTTAAAGAACTCGACTATGGGCAATACAAGCTTGTGAAAGAAGCTCTTCATGAACGTGCCACTTTTTTGCATATTGCCCCTTATTTAAGTTATCCATTGCCTATCCTGTTGCCCATTTACAAGTATGATTAGTATACATAGTTTTTTGAATTATGATTAAAAATTCAAATATTGAAATGGTTCGTTTCGTATTTTGATACAGGTGGTGGCAAGTTCCATATTTCTGGGTTGGTTCAAAAGTTTACGATTTCCTTGCAGGCCGCGAATCTATGGAAAGCTCACATTTCTTGTCTAGTAGTAAGGCAATTGAAGCTTTCCCGTGGTTAAAAAAGGAGAAACTCGTTGGTGCTATGGTATATTATGACGGTTAGTTAAGGTTTATATTTCCATCACACCAAGAGACCAACGTTAAGTAGTATAAAAGAGTGGTTTAGTATAAGAAAAATGGCACTTTATTAATGTCCCTTTTTCAAAGGCGTTTTGGCGAATACTAGCATCTTTTTCGTGCATTAAT